CTGCTTTCTACAAGATTTTAGGAATTTCTGTGACATAGCATAAAAGTCATCATTTTAACTGTTTTAAGGTGTCCAGTTCAGTAGAATTAAGTACATTCAATGTTGTGAAACCATCACCACCATCTAGTTACAACATTTTCTTCATTTCAAATTGAAATTGTGTCCATCAAGCAGTTTTTCCCTTTTCCCTTCTCCTCTCTGTCTCTGCCAACCAGGAAGCTGTTCTCTCTATGGATGAGCCTATCTAGATATGTCACACAAATGGAATTATAAAACAAATGTCTTTTGTGCCAGTTCTCAAGGTTCATCCACATTGCAGCATGTATCTGTCTTGTTTCCTGCAATTCTACAGTGAGTTTTGAAATGGAAATTTGTGAAAGACCTCCAACTTTCTTCTTTTTAAAGTTGAATTTAGCTATTGGGATGCCTTTCAATTCCACTTAAATTTTAGAATTAGCTTTTCTGCAAAAAAAAATGGCCATTGGGATTTTGATAGGAATTGCATTGATTCTGCAGATCACTTGGGTCATCTTATGGACCGAATGTGCCCTCTCCCCAGTCCTATGTTGAAATGCTAACCCCCACTGCCATGGTATGGGGGGGGGGTGCTTCAAGAGGTAATCAGGTCATGAGAGTAGAGTCCTCATGAATGGGACTAGTGACCTTATAAGGAGACATGCACTTACTTTCTCTGTTCTTCACCATATGAGAATATACAATGATTGCTCTGCACACCAGAAAGTGGGCCCTCATGACACTGCATCTATTAGCACCTTCGTCTTGAACTTCCAAGCATTCAGAAGTGTGAAAAATGTTGCTTGAACCACCCAGGATTCAGTAGCCCAAGCTGACTAAGACAGTGAGTACTGCCATCTTAACAATATTGAGCTTTTCAATTCCTGAACATGGGGTAGCTTTCTATTTATATTACATTGATTTTCACTTTAATCCAATCTGAATTCCTGGAACAAATCCTACTTGGCCATTGTGTTAGTCAGATTTTCATTGCTCTGACAAAATAGAACTTGGGGGAGGAGAGTCACTTTGGCTCAGTTTCAGAGGTTTTAGTCCATGGACAGCTTGCTACATTGTTCTGGGCCTGTGGTGAGGTAGGGTATCATGGCAGAAAGGTATGACACAGCAAAGCTGCTCACCTCATGGCAGCTGGGAAACACAGAGGGAGGAAGAGGCCCTGGACAAGATACAGCACTCAAGAGCACACTGCCAAGGACCCACTCTCTCCAACTAGGTCCCATCACTGTCCAATAACCCATTCAGCTATGGATTTATGGATTAACCCATATAGAAGGTCAGAATTCTCCCAATCCAATTACTTCCCCAAAGACCCACATCTGCACTGGGGACAGTCTTCAACCCATGAGCCTTTGGGGGGGCAATTCAGATGCAAGCCCTGACAGCCATGGTATCTATTCCTTTACCTTACAGAGTTCTGCAGCCACAGTCATCATTGATATTGGTCTATAGTTTTCTTCTAAAGTTTTTGTTTGGTTTTGGTATAAGGCTAATACTCTCCTAAAAGAATGAGTTAGGAAATGATCTTCTACTTTTTTGGCAAGGTTTGGAAAACATTTGATAGAGTTTGCTGGTGAAGCCAGCAGGTCCCAGAATCTTATTCTGAAAGTTTTTTAAAAAATATTATTTATTTTTAAAATTATTATTTAAACTATTGACTGTTACAATCTCTTTTTTGTTGTGCCATATTATAATTGTTTCTTCTTAGATTTTGGTAGTTTTTTTTTTTCTAGGAATTTGACAACTTCATTGGTATATCTAATTAATAACTGTTTACAGTAATCTTTTATGATTTTTATGTCTATAAAATGGTTAGTATTGCCCCAATTTCATTTCTAATTTCATCAGTTTGAGTCTTTTCTTCTTTTCCCTTGGTTTGTCTAATTGAGTCTGCCAATTTTATTGATTTTTTTTTTCAAAGAATGAACGTTTTGTTTCCACACATCTTATTATTTTTGTATTGTCTCTCTGATTTTTTCTTTCCTCCTAGCTTTGGATTCAATCTTCTTTTTTCTAATTCCTTAAAGTTGAGTTATTGGCCTGAGATCCTTTTTAAACACAGGAATTTACAGCCATAAATTTCCTGCTGAGTCCTTCTGACTTTGCTACATCTCCTCCTGAGTTCTATTACATTTTCACTTTCATTCATCTTAAGTATTTAAAATTCATCTTTAAAAGTATTTTCTTTGTGATTCTTTGACCCCACTGGTGGTTTAAGCGTGTTCTGTGTAATTGCTACTTATAATATTTGGTAGTGATCATCTGAGATCTCCTTCAATGCCGACACTCAGGCTGATTTTTTCCTTGACTGTTCCCTCACTGCTATACACTCTTGATCAATCTCCAGAGTTCCTACAGTCACATTATGCTTTCTACAATTCCTTAGTTAATTGGCTAATTTTGTAGAGGAACGGGTGGTCCATTGAAGCTCCCTATACACCATTTTTCTCTGACATCTCTCAGTATTCTATTTTTAATCTAAGAAAGGGAGTGAAAAGTCTATCTACCTATATTGTCTACATAAAGGTTAGGGGAGAAAAAGTAAGTCATACACAAGGATAAAAGCAACCTTTCTTATAAATGTATTTTATTTTGTAGATTATGGATCTACATATTATAAATAATTATAAAAAAATAAAATATTAAAAAAGCAATACACAGGAACTATGGTTATAGTTCAGTGGTAGAATGCTTGCCTAGCACGTGTGAAGGTGCTGGGTTTGATCCTCAGCACCACATAAATAAATAACATAAATGTATTGTGTCTACTTACAACTATTAAAAAAAAAAAAAAAAAAAAAAAAGCAATACCCAAAGCAACTGTTCCCAGAGACAAAGTTGCCCAAGTCTAACTTTATGCTGAGAAGTTGAGATTTGGGTTCAGATATCCTAGAATGCTACAATCTTATTATTATGCTAAGAGAAGCAGAACATAAAATATCTAGCAAATCAAACATTAGCTTCCTCCTACTAACACCTTTCTCAAGGAGGCAAAATAGTTTTGCCATCTGTACTCCAGGTTCTGTCTAATAGTGAATAAACCAAGGCTACTTTTTGGAGTAATGATAGGGAGAAATGTGCCTGTTAGAACAAGGCTATATGTTAGTTCACATTTTCCTTTCAAAATTAAGTTTCAATAAAAAAACTTACTTTTGCAAATCATACACACTATGGGTGCTCTACCACTGAGGTACATCCCAAGCTCCTTTAATTTTTGAGACGGTGTCTTGTAATCCTGCTGCCTTAGCTTCCTGAGTGGCTGGGATTATAGGTGTGTGCCATTTTGCCCAGCTCCCTGCATGTACTTGAGTAAAAGTGTCCACCCGAACTGAATCCCTCAACTCCTACATTCTATTACCACCACCATTTATCCACTAATATCTGAGTCCCACATCTCATTTTCAACCCTTACTGACCATTCTGCTCCTTTTAAACTGTATCTTGAATCCAACTCTCATTTTATATTACTGACCTACTGCCTCAGTCTGATTGTGTATTTAACTGTACTATCCAATGACAAACCTTGCCATTTCTGGCCTCCATTCTTAGCTTTTTTTAAAATCCATTTTCCATTATGACTTTGCAAAGCTTGCACTAAAATAAATTGAGTGAGGACACTATTGTTTATATCCATTATTTGTTTCCCATCATCTACAGCAGTGATTTTTCAATATATTCCTAGAAGACTCAAGATCAACAGAATTGCCTCAGTTTCTAGGGATTAAGGCAGAGCCTCAATGTATGAGATTACCTTGTTGGCCCTGTTCTTCAACCTTCAATTGGTTGCTTAATTTCTTTAAATATTTGTGCAAGTCTCTTTGTAAAAAAATTTCCCAAACTCTTTGTGGTGTTGCTCCTACATTTCTATTCAGACTTAATTTACTAAATGAAACATTTCTAATTCAGCACACTGGATTCAGAAATGCTTGTGAATATGAATGAATGTGAAAATATGTAGGTATATGTACATGAAAAAACCCTAATTCACCCACCTATAGAAAATATACATGAAATTGCTATGAACCAATCTATATTCATTTAGGTTTCATTTAGAAAGTTTAGCATTAAATCTTTTTTAATATATAGGTATATATTCACAAAATATAAAGTTATATATAAAATACATATAAATATATGTAAGATCATAGTTATCAAGGAATTGAGAATCCCTGAAGTTTTTTTTTTTTGATCACACCTTTATTCTTTTTTGATAATATCCTGTTATCCACACAGAATAAGAAAACACAAAGAGGAGAAATTGTTGCAATTTTATTTTACATTTAAAAATTATTTGTCTCATATGCTTCAGTCATAAAGTGAATATAAATAAAGATACATATAGGTGCTTTAAACACTGACAAAATCTATAACAATATATATTTTCAAATCAAACTTCCTATTTTTACAATACAGTGAAAAACTAAGTTCATAAAAAGATTACATACGAAAATATAATAGTAAATTAGTTCATTCTCTGAATATATGGCTCTGAAGGTAGGTTAAAGTATTCACTTCACTTGAAAAAAATCCAGACACTACACTGCATGTAGATTTAAATTAAGTATAGTCTTCCTTCCGTTAACAGTTTATTCAGTGTGAATCACAGAAGATCCATGAAGGGTCATCACTTAAGAAACTCTCCTTAGAATCACAATCAAAATTGAAAGCCTGGTTGAGAAGCATGGAAATGCCGGCTCTTGATACAATGTGGAGACAAGAGTATTTCGCACTCTGGCACCACTCTGGCTCTTAACTAAACTCCTCAGTAACCTCAGGGCAAGTAGTACCTCCCTCTGATCAGAGAGAAGCCCTTACTGCTGAGGACACTGGGTCTCCGGAGTGGATTTGGAGGACACGTATACAATAGGGTGTGATTTCTTACAAGGTTCTTTTTCCAATTTGCTTGCAGGTTCTTTCCCTTCATTAACGTCTGTTTGAAGCATTGACTCAGCGGCTAACCTACAGGCATTAAAGCATCCACTCTGAATTCAAATGTAGTTAATGAAAAAAATAGAGAAACAAACCCGTAATATATTGAGCCTCTAAGGAGGAATGGTGCTATTTTTTTTTTAATAAGGAAAAAAATTAGTTGACTCTAGTACCATTAAAATACTAAATGACTCTTGAAAGGAATTATTCTTATCAATAGACTTAATTTTTAAATGTCTAGTAAATATGTTAAGGTTGATAAAAAGGCTTGTTAAGGCCTAGATTAAAGAATTAAATTTGATGAGATATTTATCATGATAAGTACACATAACACAAAAATTGAAATGCTGGAGCAGTATTTTAAAGATAACATGACACACAAAAGGCCCATGCACAAGATGAAAACACCATGGGATCCTGGCTGCACAGATGTCTGTCTCAGACAATGAAAACACACTCAAACTGAGTTTCAACTAGGAGAATAGTTAAAGAAAAATATAAACAGTGGGGAGATACTAAAATAGGCCTGCGAACACTTTAAAGAAGAGCATCAATTAAATTTATAAAGCATGTGACAGTGAAGTTTCCAATAAAAACCACTTTTGTTATAAAATCATCTTCAGATTGTGTATCTAAGTTAAGCATGCAAGACACAAGGTTGGAAATGTCTGCAGTGAGCAGATGGACTCACACGCACGCAAAAAAAAAAAAAAATCAAGTGTTTTGTGGTATTTTATTTGTTTTTGTTTAACTAGCAAGGCAAATAGTTTCCAATATGCAATTTGAGTCAAACAATTTAACTAGATACATTGAAGCAATATTTTTTTCAAGCACAAAAGGGCAGAAGAAGAAATGAAGGCAACATAGCTAGCAAGATATGCACTGATCGGTTCTGGAAATCCACCTCTGGAAGACCATACAGGCCACACACACACCCACACTGTGAGCCACGCAAACCCGCACTGGCCATATGCACACTCCCACAGTGAGCAACACACACACATGCACGGCCTGCGGAACTCGCCTCAGTACAGTTAGCGCTATGGGTACTGTCAGGTAGCATCCATTTGTCATTTCCTCAAGAATATCAAGCTCTTATTTTATGTGACTTACAACATTATACAAAAACTCAAGGAAGGAAATAATTAATTAGTCTTCCTTACAATAACAACAGCAGCTAGAGTTTTATCATTGTTGAGTACATTTAGTAGCACTGAAAATTTAAAGAAAAATCAGATAAAACATACAAGGAAGTTCTTTTACATACGATGGACTGTTTTACTTTTTTGATTAAATGCACACAGAAAATGCCTGATTCTGTTCCCTTCTTTCTAAGAACAAAGTAGCCCTAGTAGCACCTTAAAAACCTCACTTCATTGGAGACAACCCAAGCTGGCTACTGTCACAGAAATAAGTTTGAATTTTACATGTCTAAAAGTGTTTATTTTTAATATACCTGCCATTGCATTACACAACCTTCATCTTGATTTCCCCTCCATTTCCCTCACTCACTTCTATTTATCTTACCCAGATCCTGCTGTGCATGCCCAGAACTCCAGCTGCAGCCAGTTACATCCTCTTCCCTCTGTTCACTTGCTCTTACCTTCTCACTTCTATTCCTTTTAAAGGACAAGGCCCTTCAACTGGTCCTTCAGATACACATATCTGACACTTTCTCTTTTAAGTCACAAATTCAATTATGCAGAAATTGGAGGCTTTGATGTTTTAGAAAAAATGGAAACAAATTACCTTGGATATTTAAAAATGTCAAAATAATTAAAAGTAATGTCTGAAGGACTGGTATAAACAACATCAAAAGCCATAGAAAACTTCACCTACATTTTCTTAACTAAACTGTCTTCAGACTACTGGAAAACCTTTGAGAAGGTAAGTTGATTGTTCCTTCATGGCTACTCCTTTACCAGGAGAAAAGTAATAGCACATTTATTCAAATCAATAAGAGAGATGTGTGGCTTTCTAATGACTCCCTTCTTCAGGAGTCCTTTCCCCTTGCAATCATTTTTGTCTTTTTCAAAGTTTTAGAGAAGTTGAAGGCGGGCAGATGAAACTGGGGGATTAGACTGCATGCAATATTGAGAAGACAGATAAAGAGACAAAGAGCATAGCTCATGCAGCGAGAAGGGAGAGAAAGGGAGGGCTGCTGGCTGCCTTGAAAAGAGGACACTGACCTGAGAGAGCCGGGCGTGTTCTCACTTCTTTCACTTAAGGCTTGAGCAAGCTTCACACATTTCTTCTCCTTCTTTGGCTGCACATCCACGGGCAGATTTTTGTGAGGAGAGAGAGGGGCAGTGGGAGTGTTTGCAGACACTGACTTTTCTAACTGCAAGTCACCTTCTGAAGGGTTAGGACAGGACTGTGTCTCCTTGTGAGGTGGGAATCTAGAAGTTCCTTCCCCGGCAGCACTGCTGGCACATTCGTCTTCAGCAGGGGTCACATCCAGAGGTAGCACCTCCCGCCTCTTTTTGAGTATAGGAACTTCGATTTTCTCTAAGAATGAAAACCATTAGAAAAATCCAGTCAATGAACAAAAGACAGACCAAGGGAGAGCAATTATATATGAAGTCTTTTCCTTTTTTCTATTCTTTCAAAATCCACTCATCTCCTCACTGAAATCTGTTTCTTTTTTTTTTCTTTCTTTTTCATAGATTGCATTAATTAAAGCTTTTATAGGTTATTTTGACCATAAGTCTTTCCTTGGGAACTCAATACAGGAATTCTAGGAATGAATAAAATGTTCTCTTGTAGTATTTTGATAAAAAATTCTAAGGGGAGATGGTTCCTAAGGGAGACCTTGGTGCCATGGACATAAAGATGCAGTGGCCAAAAGTCAGGGAGTTTAGGATCAAGTCTGGCACTTAGCAGCTGGATGACCTTAGGAAAGTATTTAATCATCCTACATTATAAGGTTTCTAAATCTGCAAAATGCAGATTAAAAATACCTACTTTGCTTTGTCTGTTACAAGGATTAAATGAAAAGAACAGGTCAAACTCTGAATATTGGATATCCCTTGCTGCTCCTTTGAAACCCACATCATCTGGATTTACTAACCATCCTCCTGTCCCTTTGCTGTGTTCAGTTCAGCACACTACCCCTGAAATTCCTAATGGGTAATTTTTACTCATAGGAACTTACTAGGATCAGGGAAGAGAAAAAGGACAAAAGAAAGAGAAGTCTTTTAAAACAATATAAAAAACTTATCATCGTTGACATTTTCCCCATTATTGACCACAATGAACAGAGTTCAGCCTGTTAACAGGGTGGGGCAGAAACCTGTTGAGAATCCTTAACCTAAAACATGTTGACAATATCTTTTGGGGAGGGGAGGGAGTTAGGACCATCACATTCATGGACTTCTTTACATTTGGCCTTTTATTTTAAAATTTATACATAGTAAAAATCATTTTTTGTAATATACAAGAGGCAGAGAGTGTATTGGGCTATTTTTTTCTCGGTGATGTGACTTGCTCTAATAACTGTCCAAACATTTTTCCTTAAAGGCTAGAACTGTAAGAGAAGAGGTTGGGTAGAAATCTCCAGTGATAAATCCCCCACAGAACGACCAAACTAAATAACTATATGCCACAAAAATACATTCATAAGAACTCAGAAAACCAGAACAGGTAAGTTAGACTGTGAAGCCCACAAGGGGAAAGGTTCCCTGTTACTGCAACCCCTTGTCCCCAAGCTTTCATGGTACCACCTGCAGAAAGCCCCCAGAACTCAGTGTGTACACTGAAAAAAGTAAGCAAGAAATAGATATTTGACTTCCTCACCACCAGAGTAACTCTGTGGGAGTCTCACTGCATGGGCTCACAGCAAGTACTGAGAACTCCGTGGGATGCTCCTGAGACCAGCTAGAAGGAAGGAGAAGTAGGGCTTGAACTAGCACACAGAACTTGGCACTGGCCCTCCATCCCTGCCAGAGGAGACATGCTAGCAGACAGAATGTTTGGGAATGTTTACTGCTGGAGGCGGGGTCCATAGATCCTCTGGACTCAAGAGCCTGACTGGCTCTCCCACATGCCTTGAGTGTATTCCATGAATCTCCCATGGGTCCATCCAGGTTGGAAACTGCACCAGCAGCAGAGTTGTCAAAAAACCTGCATCTAACCTGAGCTCAGGGTGCCCTCTAATGCTGAAATGGAATACCATAGGCAGTCTGCTAAAAATGTCTAAAAAAGCCCACTGAAGTAGAATAGTCACAAACAAGTCCAGACTGTAAAAAAAAAAAAAAAAAAAAAAAAAAAAAGGAAGAGATACCTAATTCATCAATGCAGAGACAAAGATATATGTTACAAGGACTAAGAAGAGCCAAGGAAAGATATCCTTATCAAATGGACAAAACATATTGCCAAAGATAGACCCAAAAGACATTCATATGCATGATTTGGTAGACAAAGAATTTAAAATATCTGGTTTAAAAAAAAACTCAAGAAACTTCAAGAAGACAGAGGAGCAATTAAGAAAATTTTATAAGGAGACATTTAACAGATTGAAATAATTTTTAAAAATCAAATTCTGGAGCTGATAAATAAATGAAATAAAAAAGCCACTGGTGGGCATTAATAGCAGAACTGATCAAGAAGAGGAAAGAATTGGTGAGCTTGATAATAGGCTATTTGAAAACAGAGGAGAAAAAAGAATGAGAAGGAATGAGGAAAATTCATGAGATCTCTGGGACACCATTAAAAAAGCAAATCTATGTCATTGGTGTCCAAGAGGATCTAGAGAATGACAAAAGGTTAGAATTAAGTTTATTCAAAAATATAACAGAAAACTTTCCAAATCTAAGATACAAACACCCAATTACAGGATAATCAAAGGTTGCCAATCAGATTCAACCCAAATAACTCTCAAAGGTCAAAGACAAAGAGGACTATGAAAGAAGCAAGAGGAAAGAAAGAAGCAAGTGACACAGAAGGGAATTCCAATATGACTGGTGGACTTCTCAGCAAAAACCCAAAGGACATAAGGGAATGAGATGATATCCAAACTGCTGAAGGAAAAACATCTGCCAACCAAGAATAATGTACCCACCAAAGCTTCTTCAGAAGTAAAGGGAAGACAGACCTTCCCAGACAAAACCTGAATGCACTCATGGCAACCAGACCTATCTTACAAGAAAGGCTGAAGGGAGTTCTTCAAATGCAAAGAGAAAAAAATAAAAAGGATGAGAATGTCTAATATGAAAACATCTGAAGGTATAAAAACCCACAGGTAAAAGTGAGCATTCAGATAAATCCAAAATAACATGGGAACTAGGGGATGTAAACCATTTATATCCTTAGTAAGAAGCCTAAAGGACAAAACTAATACAAATACAGTAATCTGCTAAGGGATATGTAATATAAAAAGATGTAAATTTTAACATCAAAAACTCAAAATATGGGAGAGAAATGGAGTTGAAGAGTAGAAGGCTTTTTTCTTTTTTTGCTTTTGAAATTAAGTTGTTGCAGCTCAAAATAACCTGTTGTAATTATAAGATGTTCTGTGAAAGCCTCATGGTAATCACAGAGCAAAAACCTTAAATAGATACACTGAAAATAAAAACCATGGGATCAAAACATGCTGATAGGAAAAAAAAAAAATCACTTAACAACAAAGGAAGACAGGAAGATAAGAACAAAGATGTACAAAACAACCAGAAAACAAGTAATTACATGACAGTACCCAAATCTGACTCTGCTGCCTACAAGACACTCACTTGTAAGGAATATAGAGAGAGAGTGAACAAATGGAAAAAGATATTCCATTCAAATGGAAACCAAAAGAGAGTAGGAGTGGTTATACTTAGATAAAATATGCTTCAAGTCAAAAACTGAGGAGACAAGGCCATTACAGAACAAAAAAAAGAGTATACAACAATTGTAAATATATGTCTAAATACATAAAGCAAGCATTATTAAATGTAGAAAGATAGGCAGCAATTTTTTTGCAGTGATAAGATACTTTAACAGCCCACTTCTAGCAATGGAAGAGCATCTAGCCAGAAAAGCAGCAGAGAAACATCAGATTTAAACTGTACTCCAGACCAAATGGAGCTAACAGAAGTTACAGACCTTTCCATGCACCAGCTGCAGCACATTCCTCTCAACTGCACATGAAATGTTCTCAAGGGTATCATGTCAAGCCACAAAAGAGAACATCAGAAACTGTACAAAGATGTAAAAATTAAACATACTTAGAAGCAACCAATAAGTCAATGAGGAAATTAAAAGATAAATTTAAATATTTCTTTTCACAAGTAAAAATGAAAATATACCAAATATGCCAAAACTTTATGCTTTCAGCAAAAGCAGTTCTAAGAAGGAAGTTTATAGCAATAAACTCCTACTTCAAAAAAAGAAGGAAGAGAACAGCTTAGTGGTGGAGTGCTTGCCTAGCACGTGAGATGCACTGGGTTCAATCCTCAGCCCTGCATATAAACAAAATAAAGGTTCAAAAACAATTTAAAAATTTTTTTTAAAAAAGAAGGAAGATCTCAATATCTCATGTCAATAAACTAGAAGAAATTAAGAAAAAAAAATAAGACCAAAATTAGTAGAAGGAAGAAATGGTAAGGATCAGAGCACAAATAACCAAAATAGAGGAAAAAAAAATAAAAGATAAATGAAGAATTGGTTTTTGAAAAGATAAACAAAATGAATAAATCTTTAGCCAGACCCAAAAAAAAAAAAAAAAAAAGTGACAAAAAACTCAAATAAATTTTAAAAAATCAGAGGTGAAAAAGGAAACATAAACTGACCCCACAGAAACAAAGAATTTTAAGAACTAGTAAATACAAACAAATTGGAAAACCTGAAAAAAAAAAAATTTCTGGAGAGCAGAAGGCAACAGCATATCAAAATAATTAAATACCATGATCAAATGGAATTCACCCTAGGATCTAAGAATGACTTAAAACACAAATCAACAAGCTGATATATCACATTACAGACAAAAGGGCAAACACCATACGATCATTTCAATAGGAAAAAAATTGACAAAACTTAATATTCTTTTTTGATAAAAACTCTGAATAAATTAGGCATAGAAGGAACACATCTCAGTATATTAAAGGCCACAGATGATAAACCCACAGACATCATACTCAACAGGGTCAAAATCAAAGTGTTTCCTTTAGGACCTGGAACAAGACAAGGATGCCACTAGCATTCACTGTTATGACTCAACACAGAACTTGAAGTCCTAGCAGAGAAATTAGATAAGAGGAAGAAATAATAGGCAGCCGAATTGTAAAGGAAACTGTCCCTGTTTTCAGATAATATAATCTTTTACAGAAAATTCTGAATACTCTACTTAAAAATTATTAGAACTAATAAATACAGTAAGGATATAAGATACTAAAGCCAATATATAAAAGTCAGTAGTGTTTCCATTCAACAATAGCAAATTATCTGAAAAAGAAATAAGGAAAGTAATCCCATTTATAAAAGCTATGGTTTTAAAAAAAAAAAAGTGAAATAAAATACCTAGTAAAAAATTTAATCAAGGAGATGAATGAGCTCTACAGTGAAAACCATAAAACACTGGTGAAAATTGAAAAGACAGAAAAACATGGCAAGATATCTCATATTCATGAACTAGAAGAATTAATATTATTAAAATATTCATTCTACCCAAAGCAATCTACAAATTCAATGCAATCCTCATCAAAATTCCATAACTTTCTTTACAGAAAAAGAAAAAAATAATCCTAACCTGTCTTAAACAATAAAATTTCAAATAGTCAAAGAGCAGAAAGAACAAAACTGGAACAATCCTAGTACCTGACTTCAAAATATACTACAGTGCTAAACTGACCAAAATAGCATGGTACGGGCACAAAAACAGTGAAGAGAGCAATGGAGCTCAGAACACACACTGGGGAAAGGACAGTCCTTTAATAAATGGTGCTGAGAAAACTGGATCTCCACATGTAGAACCATGAATATTCATTGTTTCTTCATTGAGAACATTCTCAACTTCTACAAAATCAACCTTTTTTAAATTTCACAGATGAATAGGATCGTGTAGTGTTTGTCTTTTTGTGCCAGACTTCTCTCTTATCATATACAAAAGTCAACTAAAAACTATAAAATTACTTGAAGAAAACATAGGGAAATGCTGCATGACCTCGGTCTGGGCAAAGGTTTTTTAGACAATCCCTCAAAAGCAGGAGAAACAAAAGCAAAAATAAGCAAACCGGATAATATCAAACTAAAAAGTTTCTATAGCAAAGAAAACAATCAACAAAGTGAAGAAAAACTACAGAATAGAAGAAATTGCTTGCAAATTATACAGCTGACAAAGCATTACTATGTAGTATCTATAAGGAACTAAAAGAACTCAATAGCAAAAACCCTTCATATAATCTGATTTTAAAAATGGGCAAAAGACCTGAACAGACATTTTTCTAATGAATACAGAGGTTTACGAAAAAATCCTCAACACCACTAAATCACTAAACATCAGGAAAAATGCAAATTAAAACCACAATGAGATACTATTTCATCCAAGTCAGAATAACTATTATCCAAAAAAAAAAAGAAATTCTGGTGAGGATATGGAGAAAGGAGAACTCTCATATACTGTGAGTGGGTCTATAAATTAGTAGTCATGATGGAAAATAGTATGGAAGTTTCTCAAAAATTAAAAATAGAATTAACATGTGACCCAGCAATCCCAATACTAGGTGTGTGTGTGTGTTTTTCTAGATATCTGAACTCCCATAAATGGAGAAAGAAAATGTGATATGTATAAGTAATAGAATACTATGCATTCATAAAAAAGGTATGAAATCCTGTCATTTGTGACAACTTGAATGAACTAAGGATCTTGTGTTAAATGAAATAAGTCAGGCACAAAAAGGCAAACACTACACGTTCCTATTAATCTGTGGAATCCAAACCAGGTTGATTTTGTAGAAGTTGAGTGTTCTCAATGAAGAATGAATATTTAAGGTGATCACATGCTAATTACCTTCATTTAATCATTACACAATGTATATATAAATAGAAACATAATAAATGTCCAATTATTATGTGTCAATAAAAAATATAGAATTCCCAATATTTAGTTGGAACATGGCCCCTGAGAATCAAGATTGAATTTTCTCAATCTTGCCTTGCTGTGACAGCAAGGCCACACAAATAAACTCTGCTCAATGGGATGGTGGCAGACAACACAAAAGGAGTCTGAATCCTGCAATGCCTCCTCAGACTTTCATCGGGGGAAGAATAATCACAAGCACTTAAACCTAAACTGTGTTTAGATCTTCTATAAATAATCCGAATTAGCATAACTTCCAACATTAGCTGCTTATTTAACTTTTCGGTATGACAATATGCTACGATTTTAAGTGGAAAAGCCTCAAGTGTCAGTATGATGAAGCCTAGACATCCAAAAAAGCCATATATCACATTCATGCATACCTAGTTCCCTTTGAATTTTTCAGCTGTAAATTTCCCTTATTAACTACAGATTGATAACCACAAAATTGGTTTGTAATGAGATTGCTAAAAGCTATAGTTTGAAAAAAATGTTGATACACTTTCTCAGAGCTACTTCGGACTTAAAAGACAAAAACACAGGAAACTTGCATACCTTCAGGTTCATACTTCAGCTTTAATTCATCTAGCTTAGCTCTCAGTTTCATATTTTCACTTTCTGCAAGCTGAAGGCATCTTTCATTTGCAAAAAGTTTTCGCTCGATATCCAGGGCCCGCTGGCTCTCAAACAATGCTTTCCTCCGCTGTATGGACAATTCACTTTTGCTGCTTTCATTTTCTTTGCTACAGTAACAGAAAAGAAGAACCAAGGAATGTTAATATATAATTTTGTGAATAACTTAGTGGGATGAATCTTTAATTTTATATTTGAACACTTGGTTAAAAATATATTTCTTTGGGATTTCTGGTAACAAAGAAACAACAAATAATTAAAGTTTAACAATAGCATCCCCCTCTGCCAAAATTCATGCATTATTCCAAGGTGATTCATGCATAAATTCCTTTTAAGTTATGAGATACTTATTCTTGAAAAATTTGGATTATAAGAATATTTTCTACATGAAAAGTCCTTTTTACTTACCAATCTAAAAAGCTAAACACAAATTATTTACTGAAAGTATTCTTCAGTAATTAGTAGTTATTAAATCTTGCATGCAACTCATGTATTACACAAAGACATGTTATTGACTTTCTTTTCTGTGGAAATTCCTTTTGGCAATTTGAACTTAAAAATTTGTTATTATATGAATACCATCTATTAAAATAAATAAAAAGTCTTTATCTTCCATCTGCCAACCCAGACACCTACTTTAAGTTCTCAAGCTTTAGCTGAAGTAAATCTGTATAATAGGTGTTATCTTCCAGAGCACCAGAGTTGCCTGAAGGTTTTGAATCCATACTTTCATATAAATTCTAAAGAAAGCAAAAATTCTTATTACTTACATAACAAATTAGGTTACTGTATGCTTATTAACAGTGGCAGCAGCCACATGTTAATCTCTCATCCTTTGACAAATACTCTTCAAAGATCCACCCACTTACCTGAGTGCAGTAGGTACAAGAACCACCAGTCCTTCCTCAGGTAAGAAAAGTGGCTCAAGGTACTACCGGTAAGTAAATCAAGAGCTAGATTGTGAATCCAGATCTAACTCACACTCATATCTCTGACTCCAATTATACCTGTCTTAGGATTTCACTCTCCTGGCTTTAAGAATGAGAGAAGCAAATGCTTTTTGGGTTGAATTCTGGTATGACAAAGCTATACAATGGAAAAATACGAAAAAGAGAGGAGATTCTTGAGGTTATTTTTGGTACCCACGCTTTGAATATTCTGATTCACTCTTTGAATATTTTCTTTACTGGAAAAAAAAAAAGCAGATGTTTAAAAACTTGCAAAGAATTTCAGAGATTGCACATTTAAAAATCCTCCTAATTTAAGGTCACAATTTTCAAAGTATAGCACAAAGCCCCAGGGATAGACTACATATACCTGCCAAGTGACACACTGCAAATTTAGCTAAAATTATAATACTTTTAATAGTTTTTAGAAGAAACAGGGATAAAGTCATATAAACAATTTTTTCTTCAAAAATGTCAAAATAAAGAAAGAGAAACTGTTCCAGATTAAGGAAGACTGAAGAGACTTCATAGTAAAACATGCAACCTTGGATTAGGCCCTAGAATTGAAAACACTAGATTTTTTTTTTTTTTCTTTTAAAATTTGCTTAGGGTATGTTTTCATCAGCTTTTTTTTTTTTTTTGGTCTCTGTGACCAAAAGATCTAACAAGAACAATGTAAGGAGAAGTTTATTTGGGGTTCATGGTTTCAGGTCTCAGTCCACAGATGGCCAACTCTATTGCTCTGGGCCCAAGATGATGTAGAATATCATAGTGAAAGGGTGTGGGGGAGGAAAGTACCTTAGAAAATGGTAATCGGGAAGCAGAGAGAGAGAGCTCTCTGCTTACCAGGGACAAAATTCCAGTCACCCCTCCAGTAACTTAACTCCTCTAGTCACACTCTACCTGCCTAAAGTTACTACTCAGTTAATCCATATAAGTGGATCAATCCACAGATCAGGTTAAACCTCTCATAATCCAAACATTTCCCCTCTAAAAATTCTTGCACTAACACAAGAGCTTTTGAAGGACATCTCATATCTAAACCATAACAGGGTATCAATGATAACTGGCAAAATGTAAAAAGTAGCTTGGTTAATAGCATGGTTCAATGCATATCAATGTTAATTTGTAATTTTGACCATTTGCTTATATCTCCAATAACATCATGGTGCTTAGGGGTAAAAGGACATCTGGTTTGGGACTCACTCTCAAAGTTTAAGAAAAAACATATAAAAACAGAAAAAGTTATAAATCAAGCGTACAAATAAGAAATAGGGAGCTCTGAGTCAAAGGCATGTAGGAGTACTTTCACTTTCCTGGAAGGTTGCACTAATTGCAAAATAAAATAAATTTATTAGAATTTATTAAAGACATCCATAAATTCCAGTGGATATACAATGTTGAATTGACAAAGCTCTAAAAATAATGGAACAGATAGCACTAAAAAATAATTACTGATGACATTCAGGCAAGAAATCTCACTGACATAACACTGAGCAGAAGACAGAAACAAGGGTATATATATTACATGATTCAATTTATATGAAGTTCAACAGAATGTTCACATAATGTTGACACAAAGTTAGGAGGTGGGAGCACTTCATTTAAATGGGGCTTTTCTGGAGTGCTAGGAATATTTTATGTAATCTGATAGTAATTGTAAGAATATACATATACAGATATAAATATGTGTGTATATATATAAACATATATATGTTAAAACTCACTGAGTTGTACACTAAAGATATAGGTACTTACAAACAATAACCAGATAATAACAACAAAAATAGAATAGATTGGTTTGTCTTTGCTTTAGTAAAAGAAGCATGGTCAATAATACTGAAAAGCAGAGACAAGAAAAAAATAATTTAAAGATTGAGTCAATATGTACTGAAACTGAAAGTCAATTATACGATGAGAAACCTATTTAAACTGAAAATTTAAGATATTCAAATAAAAATCTAGCCACATCTTTTCAAGATATTATACGTACCTTAAATTTCTCCAGATTTCTAATTTCACCTAAAAGATGTTTTATTTCACCGTTCTTCTGCTCTAACATGGCAAACAACCGTTCCTGCTGCTCAAATTCAGTTTGAGATCCTTTCATCTGTAGCAATGTAGCAATCTGTAACTAGAATTCCCCCACCACAACAAAATTGAGATATTCTGATAAGCATATTTGTGGAACAATTTGTATTTTGTACTAATATTATTTAGAACTTGTTTTGAAAACTAATTAGTTATTTCTAGTCTAATAATTGGAAAATATACATCAATTAGTTTTGTTGTAGACATAACTTTGGAGTACTTCTACTTTTTAATGATATCTGAAGTCTTTAATATAGTTTTACCTAGTTTGTGATACAAAATTGAACAGCATGACTGTGGTCCAGAGGGTGTCATTTAACTGGTAAGTAAGCCTGGACAAATGTGGCCTGCTATTCATCACCTATACTAACTCCTGTTAAAGCGATTTCTCAAAATTCTCCATTAGCTTTACTTTAGTAGGGGAAATTGTTAAGCAGCTCAGTCACAAACATGATATTCACAATGATAAGAATGGGAAGTACCATATGAGTATTTTTCTACACTTTAACCCCAAGACAGTTCTGAGAGGCAAGTTCTATCACCTCTACTTTGTAAATGAGGTATGCCTTTTAGATGCTCTCAGAATATATGTCCCAGGTAACACATCTAGCAAATGACAACTATGCTTCAATCCAGTCCATCTAATTCCAAGTTTGATCAGTGACCTTTCCCATTTCTCTGGTAAAACTGATATCTTGAAAAAAAAATCTAAACTTTCTTCCAAACACCACCTTAGGAACGTCAGGCAGAACAGACCATACATTGGAATTCTAAGGACTGCTATAATCTTGGAATCTTTCTAATTGCCATAAGGTTTTCTGTTACTTCTTATTTGTGTGCAGCAACAACCAACAAAACCCTTAAAATTAAAGGGGTTAATTACATGCTTTGAGGAGCTGCAAGAAAAGGGAACCCTAAATAGTTCAAATTTCCATCTAAAATAAGCCTTCATGAGAAGTGAGAAATGGCAAAAGCTAGTCTCATTTGATGCAGGAACCCAGAAAGACTCAGAATAAGTGAGAAACAAACACTTTTAAATTCCTTTTCCCTATTCTACAAAGATTTAAATCTCCCTGGCAAGGTTAGCGAATGATCATTAAAATAAACAATTAGTAGTTGCTAAACACACTAATGTTTTTCCAAGATTAACTTTTTAAAAACATAAAAGTATCTTATGATCTACCTGGAATTTCTAATTTTTAAAAAAATCATGCAGTTCTAGAAAAAAATATAAAAGTATACCCCTTAAAGGAAAAGATGGCTTTTGTGATATATTTATCTATATAATGCTAATATGAAGTAGATTTAACAAACATTTAAGAGCGGTAATTCCACACCTTCATTCTTTGCATCTGTTCTCTATTAAATGCATTTTGCTTCTTTAGTGACTGATACTTGACTTTCATACCGATAAGTTGGCGTTCCATTGCCGCCCTTCGATCTTCTACCTGGAAAACATTGATATGTTTAATTGTTCTTGTACTAAATGAAATAACAGTTTACACAATTCAATTATTAGAATACTTGTAAGTACCTCTGCAAACAAAGAGTTGCCCTTACTATTGGGATCCAAGGCTTGCTGGAGGGCCTGGCCCAATTGCACCTGCAGATCTTGATTTGCTACACGAGCTTTCTAAATTCAAAAGAAAACAATTTAGCTAATAGAGATTAAATTAGTATGAAAACAATTTAAAAACTGGAAACAATACTACTGTAATCATAATACCTCTAAGGCATTATAGTATGAAACTGCTTCTTTCTCCCGCTCTTCTTTTTCTTCTTTAAGTCGGTCTACCTGGCGCATTAAGTTAGTACTAAGACGTTCTAGTTGTTCCTGTCTGTACTGTAGTTCATTCACTTCTTCCTTGAGAGCATTCTATTCAACAGAAATTGAAAGACAAAATTCTCTTGAAAATGCTTTCATTTAGCAGCTGCTCAGCTAACTTATCTGTAGTGGTTCACATTCAAATTAAAACTACAAAAACCTGTCAAAGTTGTCAGATACCTATTAAAATTTTAAAAATTACTTAATTTTTCAGCAGGGAACCAAACAAAAGGCTCTAGAGACTGCTTCTTCTGACTGTGAATTCAGGGCTTTAATTTTTAATGACTCATAGTCTGAAATGAAAAATCTATGTTCACACAAATTTCAACTTCCACTGTACTAACATTTTATATTATGACACAAACTAGGATCAGAAAATGTCTATGTCCTTTCAGAGCTTTCATTAATCTAAGGTACTGTCTGCCTTATTTAATCAGGTCACCTAATACTATTTTATAAATAAAGTAATTCACCTAAACTACATAAAACATTTTTTGGATAGTTAGATCAAAGTAGATCAAAAAAAATTTCTTCCTCCACATTAGCTCATTAGAATTATTATAAAAACACATAAAATGTATGCAAAAGAAAAATTTAAAAATCTAAGAAAACACATGCCATAAAAATTACCTTCACACTTTCCATTTCAGTCAGCTCGACCTGAAGAGCCAGCATCTCTGAAGACATGCTTTCATGGACTCGCTCAGACATCATCCGTATTTCCTCCGATTTATGAGACAGGAGTTCCTTCTGGTGGTCTACTTTGTGCTTTAGCTGCTTTTCACTAAGCCTAGCTTCATCTAACTCTCCTTTTAGTTTTTCTATCTAAAGTATAAAAAAAAAATCACAATTTTATAAATCAAAAGGTATTTTCTTTCTGTAAAACATCACTGAATGATCCAAACTTGTACAAGAGACTAGTAGAGCTTCCAAGGAAACTCCAATAGTGACCCACCTTGTTTTATAAACAGTCCATTCTAGCCATCCAAGTGGTTTGGATGCATTAAAGCTACCAGAAGCACTGTGTAGCTGTGTAAACGATGCTGTGACCAGCCATGCCGAAGCAGAAGCCTGATTGGAAGGCTACCACAACAGTCTAGGGGAGAGGGGATGGTGGGGACTAGAGCCACAGTAGCCTACATCAAGGTTCTGTTGGCCAAATCCCCACAACAGGCTGATGAATTCAACATGAGAAGTAAGAGAAAGATACTGGGAAAAAAAAAAAAAAAAAGCCAAACTTTTGGCAAAAGTGATTTAAGAACATCAGTAAGACTGAAAATTTTGTATTGATTTACTCTTTGCTCTACCACCTAAGCCATCTCTACAGTTGGTCCTTACTTCAGGCCCTGAAAAAATATCCCCTATACTGCTACATTTGTTTATGTAATGAAAGCTACATGAAAAAAAAAAAAAAAAAAAAAAAAAAAACCCAACAGGAGAAATGAAAATGTATCATTACCAGTCGTTACTGTCTAAAATCAGACTAGTTCCAGACAAGCTAGACTATTTGTCAGTAATGTGCAGGATGAGTATGTATTTCACAAAAGCATTATTTGTTTGTTTTACCATCTATTAGGAAAAAATAAACCAACTCAAATATGTGATTTCATTACTAAAAATAGAAAAACACTTAGAGCTAAATCAATAAAGAATTAAGGCAGCAGTATAGATTGTACACAGACATGGAAAAAAATCTTAGAAGATGTTACAAAAAAAAAAAAAAAACCTAAAAATTGAAAGAGACTTCTGAGAAGACAATAAAAAGTCAAGCAAGTTTTGAAAGAAAGGGTTTGTAAAAGTCTGGATTCCACACGAAGAGGAGCCATGGTGAAGTTCTGGATTCCTAAGTAGCAATCTGAAGGCTGGATGGGTGGGGGTGCTAGAAGGGAATGGGCATTCATGAACAGCTGTTGTCTATTTCGTGTTTATGTATGAAGTAGAGCTAGTATGTAATGTGTCATCAGATTATGTACACACTCAGTGACACAGAATTTGGTGTGAGGAAGACTTGCTTCAATTCACAACTGACAATTTCTAGCTCTCACCTTGTCCAATATGCTTGATCTACCTAAACATTGGTTTTCTCATCAGTAATATGGAGATAACAATAGGATTTCCCTTAAAAATATATTTTGAGAACTGGATCATGTTTTTCCTCAAAAAATAAATTATAAGGTATCAATACTAATATATAGTAATTTATAAGGAACTACTGATTTGTTCTACAGAATTACAAAGCACACCACTAGCTGCAGTAAAGGCTAAGGGACCACTCTTTCTGAAAGGAGACTGCTTGACTATGAGCAAGGATGCCCCAGTAGTTACTAAATAAATGAATCATAAAAAAATTGCTGTTATCAAAATTGGAAAATTATATGTAATTAGAAGGCTATATTGATACAAGTCTCACTTTTATAAGTTATTTTATATGTTTTTGTTTCTCAGTGTTTCTACTCTCAACATTAAAATGACAGAAAACTGATCTATGCTATTTTCACAGTGGTACTTGAGAAAAATCTTTATCACCTTACATTAACAGATGGTTGCATCAACATGGGGTATTTTTGCTCTGAAAACATACATATATTCAAACCTTGTTTTTTAGTTCATTCACTTCCTGTCCATGGCTTCTGCTTAGCTGCTCTTCTAATTGTTCTAGCTGCATTTTTTGTTGTTGCTTAATAGCTTCACATTCACAGCTCAAACTTTCTAACATGCGACTCTTGAGCTCAACTTCTCTCTGAAGAGTATATTTTTCTTGTTCATAATTCTGAAAATAGATTCAATTACATAAAAATCACTTAAAGCTATTACATATAATCAGTTCTCACCTTCAATTGGCTTATTCCTGTTTCATACATTTGCTGCTTTCTGAGGTACAACCACATGTTAAATCCGGAATAACTTTGTAGCTCATCAGTTTTAGTGAATCCCTAAGGTATATTCTGAAAGTACAGTAATGTCAAAAACACTCAGGCTGAAGTTAGTACAGGCATCAACTCTAGAAAAGATGCAAGGTTACCACTTTCCAATCTGGGGCTCTGATGCCCTAGTAACCCACAATGCAAAACATAACTGGGGAGGCATTCTCTGGATTCCAAAATCTGAATAAAACTTTGTATGATGAGTACCATCAGGCTACCTTAAAATGTCCCTGCTTTTGGCTGGAATATCAACTGTCACAGCAGCATGTCTTATCTCATGCTGACCAAAAACTAGGCATTTGTTTGACGATTAGGAAAATAAGCTACTTATTATTTAGTACAGTTTGATAGCACAACCTTCAAATCTGGAGTCCATCTGAGAGAGAACATGAAAAAGTAAAGGGACTTTTGGTAACAAAAGACCAGAAACAAGGTCTTAGGCATTCAACCTTCCATCTATTCCACACATACTTACTAAGAACCCAGCAAATATGCCAGGTAACAGAGAAACTCAGATAAATATAAAAAATGATGCCTGACTTCAAGGAGGATCAATGTCTAGAGGAACAATAAACACACAATTCAGCAATTACATTAAGTCACAGTAACTGGTAAGTGCTAGCTCAGAATACACTTCCTGAAGGAAGTAATGTCTATATTGGTTTTTAAAGTATTAGGATACATGCTTACATACTACGTTCTGATGCAGAGAACATCATAAAGTGAATAACTGTTTAACTAGTCAGATCATTCAGGTGTCTGAGCTCCACACAGGATCAGATATCATTTGCATTTTATATGCAGGGGATGTTCCAAGACCCTGGGTGGATAGCTGAAACCACAAGTTGAACCAAACTCCATATATACATATGTACACACATATCTTGATGAGTTTTAATTTTAAATTAGGCAAGTTAGAGATTGATAACATAACTAATAACAATTATAATAATATGCTGTAATAAAAGTATGTGAATATGATCTCTCTCAAAATATCTCATTGTACTATGCCTAGGTGAGGAGAGGAAGTGAGGTGGAGCAGGTGGGATAAAGTAGGATGGCACCGGATTTCCTCACACTATTCAGAATGGCATGCAATTTAAAATTTATTATTTACTTATGGCACTTTCTATGTAATATTTTTAGACTACAGTTGTCCAGAGGTAATTCACACTAAGAAAAGTGAAACTAGAAATAAGGAGGGGGCCTACTGTATGGTAAAGTCCATGATACAGATATGGTAATTGCTTCACTACCCTGTAGAAGGCATTGACAGAGAAGTATTAGTTCAAACTCCTTCATGAAGCTTTAAAATATAAGATAAAATGAAACTAGAAAAAAGACCTAAAACAAGTAACATTATTTCTCCAAAAGCACTTCCACTTTTGATAAGTTATTTCTCCAAATAATTAGATAAGTTATTTCTCCAAATAATTATATATAACATGGTTTTATTTTCTACTATTAGATTTGTAATTCTTTGCTTTGCTTTATAATTAGGTATTGAGCTCGTGATCAAGAACAGTACCATATGGAAAAACAAGAGCTGTCATTAGTAACTTTTACCTGCTATATTTATAATTTTCAATTTTAGTTTATACCACTGAGGATTTACTAAATTAAACTGATTTATTCATTCTTTCAATAAATATTTGTGTGCAAAGCACTAGAGAATATAGCAGTGAACAAGACAAAATTCTTAAGGACCTTGCAATCCTGGAGATAATTAGAGTTAAGAATTAAGAGTGACTGATGCTACCAGGTGCAGTGGTGCACACCTGTAATTCTGGCGGCTCAGGAGGGAGGCAGGAGGATCACAAGTTCAAAGCCAGCTTCAGCAAAGGCAAGGTGCCAAGCAACTCAGTGAGACCCTGTCTCTAAATAAAATACAAAACAGGGGTGGGGGTGTGGCTTGAGTGCCCCTGAGTGCAATCCCTGGTAACTATACCCCCTGAACTCCCCCCACAAAAGAGTGAGTGATGCCGACTTTACATTAAAGTTAGGGCTAGTCTCTATGAGTGACATTTAACTGAAATCTGAAGATTGAGGATTCAATCTATGAAGAGTGGGTGAGGAACAACTAAGCAGGAGGAAAGAGCTCATATAAACCCATAAGGCAAGACTAGGACAGCCTGAACAAGGAAAAGCAGTTTCCTATGTTTGCAAAAGTCCAGCAGAAGTCAAATCACATAGGGATGTACAAACCCTCAGACTGTCTTTTGTAAATACAATCGAAAGCCTTATGCAGATTGAGAAAGGAGATGACATGATCTCTTGTGCTTTTCCATGAAAAAGAATGATTCTATGTTGAGAAAGAATGATCTGAATGGCAATGATGGAGCAGGCAATCTGGTTAGAAGGCTGGGAGAAAGAAGACAGTGGCCTAGATAGATGTTTTATAAATCATGTCCTAAGAATTTGTGGACTAAATGTGAGACTTCTAGATTTTTGGGTCAAGCAACTGAACGTCATTCAATTTACTAAATAAATAAGCTAAAGACAGAGAATGTTTGATTAGTAGACAGGGAATTAAATATTCTGTTTGTTTATATCAAGTTTGAGATACTCTTAAGTGGGCAATTGAATACATTAATTAAGAGTTCAAGGGAAGACTATTGCTCCTCCCTTGAACTCTTAATTAATTGTTAATTAAACAGTTTAGGTTGCTAAACTACCATGGGGGCATTTAGATGATATTCAGAGCTCCAAAATTAGTGAGGTCACCTATGTAGAGTGTGGACAAACAAAACTTAGTGATAAATATAGTAGGTAAATTGTTGTAGAAAGAGTAAACATAATTGAAACTCAGAACACACTGCTTTGGAAAGAATATCAGGAATTCATTAACTCATTCACCTTTAATGAAAATGGCATAGATAGGAAATTAGATCTTCAGAAAATAAAATAATTACTGCTAGACAAACCTTCAATAGCTATGCACACCCTCATAAACAGAGGAATCCACAGTCTTACCTCAGTCATGGTCATCATTTCATTACGACATTTATCTAATTGATTTTGCAATTCACTTTGGCTCTCCAATAGTTGTAAACCATACTGTGCAGCTTTTAGTCGCTCTTTTTCAACCTCTTTGAGCTTGCTTCGAAGATCTGCAATATCTGCCTCCATGTTCTTTTCCTGTTTTTAGCCTATTATAAATAGAAGAAATACAATTTTTTGAGCTTAAACAAAAAAAACCCCTACAATAAAACCAATAATAAAGGAACCATGTATCCCCAGTGCTACTATCATATAAAAACATAATATTAAGATTTTATTCCTGACTTGTAAGGAGTCAAATTTGCATTCTTGTTCTAAGAGCAAAAATTGTTCTGATAATTTTTTTACTTGAGTTGAGACCAAACCAAAAAGAACAGAAAAAAAAATACACTTAATTGTGCTCCTAAGAAACTCAACATTAGGAAACTATTCAATTGTTATATGTTAAATGTCCATAATTACTAAGGTAGAATTAGTCTCATAACTGTGTTACTGTCAAAATAATCAAAGTAAAAAGAGAGCAATGACAGAAACCAAGAAACTTTATGGTATGCATGCATGACTGCTACTTAAGAGTATAAAAAAACAGTTTTAAATCAGACTTACAAGATAAAGCAAAGAATATCCTGTCTTATTTTTTATAGTAGTACTACTTTGCTGAATGTATTTGTTTCTTTGGAAACAGATTCACATTATTTTTCTAATTACTCTTAACAGAGTATGTAAAATAGAAACTATGTTCACAGCAATTTCCAGGCTAAGCCTTACAACTTTATACATAGGATAACTGTACTTTAACTTAACTTCATTTATTGTCCCTTCCTCTTTGGCCCTATTCCCTTTAAGCCAAACTGAAACTGGACTTTGCTTTCATAGAGCATCAGATGATTCTCTATGTCTTAAGTTTATAGAAATATGCATTTAACAAACATTTACTGAATGCCCCATTAGCTAGGCTTCATTCTGGGCACTTCAGATCATTATGGTGTAAAACTGGCAAAGTTACTCTTTCATTAAACTTACATTCCAAGAGGGGAAAATAATAAGTAACAGCATAATAATTAAATACATTAGAAAATAGAATTGGAAGAAGAAAAAAAAAAGCTCAAAAGAGATACGTGGTGTAAATAGGAGACAAAAGATGGGAAATAGGTATGCATCATTGTGGGGAATAATGTTCCAGGCAGATGGGAAACCCTAATATGGAAAAAGAGTTCAAGATATGAACTAGAATTTAGGTCACAGATAATAAAGGAGCCGGCAGATCAGTCCAATATAAAGAGTTTGGCTTCTAGCGTGTGTGAAATGGGAAGTCACTTCAAAGTCTGAAGTAGACAATTTGGTAAAATTTAAAAGAATCATTTCACTGCTGTGTTGAATAGTTAGGATGGAACAAAACTGGAAGCAGAGAGACCATCTGAGATAATGCCTCATGCTAGGTGGTGGCATAGTAGGTTAGAAATGCCCAGATTCTGCCTATATTTTAAAGGTAAAGCCAAGATGATTTTCTTATATATGGAATATAGCAAAATAAAAAACGCCTTTAAAAAGTAAAAATACCTTCAAGGCTCTGCCCTGAGCAACTAGCAGAATGGAGTTGCCCTCATTTGAGATATTGATGTAAAGTTTTTTTTGGGGCCAGGGGGACCAGGATTTCAAGTTTTGCATGAAAGATGTCAAGCAGGCAGCTGAATGAATATATGTGTAGGAGAGGGGTGTAGGCTAGAGATATAAATTTGGAAGTTATAAGCACAAGTCCTTCAGATTGAGTATCAACAGAGGATGAACATAACAAAGACAAGAGGACGAAGGACTGAACCCTACTAGAAGGTGAGGAAAAAGATGTAAAGTATATTCAGGAGTTAACAGTGAGGTAAGGAGGAAACGAAGAGCATGTGCTGTCTTAGAAGCCAATAAACACAGTGTATTAAGGAGGTAGGAGAGATCATACAAACGCTGCTGCTAAGTCAAATTGGCCACTGGATTTTGAATTTATGGAGGTCACTGGTGACCCCAAGAGAATTTTGGTGGGAAGATGGGATAAAAGCCCACTTGAAATGAGTATGATAGAGAATGGTAGGAGATGAAAAAGTGACAGAAAATACAGTTTTGCTTCAAAAAGCAGACAAATAGAATAAAGATACAAAACAATATGTGTGTATACCCTAGGATAAATTCAGGACAGAAGATGACATAGGAGATACTGGAGAACTGCCAGAGTGATGTCCTTGACTAAAGGATGAGGTCTAATGTACTGAGAATGTAGCATGGATATCTTCTCTAAAATGAAAACAAAGCATACAATATAGATGCTGATTAACTAGGGAGATATAGTAGGGAGTATATTGAAGTAAACCTAGTTGGTTTTTTGTTCATTTATGTTTTGGTAGCAGGGTATTGGGGATTGAACCCAGGGCCTGGCCCATGCTAGGCAAGTGTTATACCACTGAGCTACATCCCCAACCCTAGTGTGACCTTTTAAATGCCTCACTTATCACTGAATTAGAAAACAAAGTTCTTAACTGAGAATCAGTAGGTAGGAGATTTTTTATAATAGGGTAAAATAGATACCATAAACTAACCAGTGCAGATTATTTTTAAATGCAAGACCTTTTCAAAACCTATATACAGTGAAGCTAGCCAGCTAACTGTTGCTTTATTAACAATAACTTATATTTGTTGGGGATTTACCACCTGCTAAAAGAAGTGCTTCAAATACATCATCTCATTTAATGCTATTCATGAGCCCATGTTAAGCCATTATTATTATCTCCATCTATCAAAATAAAAATGAGGTTAACCTCAAGGCCTCCCATCAAGGAATACACAAGGAAGCCAAAACATTAGTTCTGATTCATTCAAAAAATTTGCTGGAATTTTATTACATGTCAGACAATGCGCTTAGTGTTGAGGATAAAATAATGATCCAAACACTAGAAAATATTTTGTCTTCTTGAATTTTACAGTCCATTAGTAGAAAGGCATCAAATCAAATAACTAAACTATAATGTTACAAGTGTGATAAGTGCAAAAGGGAGAGCTGTAACTAAGGTGGTATCTAAGCCTATAACAAGAGGGAACTGTTCCCTGATTACGTGACTTTTCAGCTGAGCTCTAATGAGTGAAAAAGAATTAATCTATCAATCTGCAAAGAGTTAACCTATCCTTTAGCCATGGACGAACTAAAACTAATATGTGCCATACATTTTGCTTGGTACTCTATGTACATTTTCTTAGCAATGTTCTCAAAGATCTCATAGGGTAGAAGAACTTACATTTTAAACATGCAATCTTAATGTGGCACAGAAAGGTTAAGTAACTTGCTCAGGGTTATCAGTCACTCAGGAGCTAAATGAGATGGGAACCAGAGTCCATCTCCAAAGCCTGGTGCTCTAACCACATTTCTGTCTGGCCTCTCAAAACAGCATACAAGCCATGCGCAGTGGCTCACGCCTATAATCCCAGTGACTCGGAGGCTGAGTAAGGAGGATCCCGAGTTCAAAGCCAGCCTTAGCAATGGCGAGCCCCTAAGCAACTCAGTGAGATCCTATCTCTAAATAAAATACAAAACACGGCTGAGGATGTGGCTCAGTGGTTGAGGGCCCCAGAGTTCTATCTCCCTTACACCGCTCCACCCGCACTCCCCCCCCCCCCCGAAAACAGCATACAAAAAAACATTGGAACACAGGAAGCTCTAGAAATCAAAGCTGCCTAGGCCCTTTCACCTCCATCCCTTACTGGTGGCACAAACTCGGACAAGTAACTTAACGCCTTGTTTCATCACCTTCAATACAAGGAGGGTAATGACCATCTTACAGGCCTATTGAGAACATTAAACATGATAATGGATGGAATACAAATAGGGCAGGGAGACACGCATGATTTGAAAGTTTCGAGCAACGTTTTAAAAAAGTAAACAAAGGACAAAAATCATCTTGACGTTTTACTTGACCCAATGCATCCAAAATATCATTTCAACTTGTAATCATAATAATTGCCAGAGATACAGCTCTTGTGGGATACTACCTTTAAAATCCAGTGTATAATTTACATTTAATTCGGGTTGCCACAGTGGCTAGGGGGCCATCGTACTGGACAACGCACCTCCAGGGGCCATCAGTCTGAGGCCCCCAGCAGCCGCCTGGCCTTCCATATTTATCCAGAGTTCCCCAGAGAAGCGAGAACGTCCAACCGAAAACTGGGGCCCGACTGGAAGCCAGCTTATAAGAATTTAGGGTTCCGGAATCGAAGGCGTTCCGGCCAAAGCCTCCGCCAAGACCCCGGCCCCAGGCTTCCTCAAGCCCTGCTCCCCGCCGCCTACCGCTCCTCTCCACTCTCACTAGTCTTTACCTCTGTCGTCCTCACTCCTTCCCCCAGCTGCTGGCAAGAGCTGAGAGGTCCGGGAGTCCAGATCCGTGATGCTAACCTCAGCCTGCCAGAGAGTTGCGGTCCCATTCATTTACCTAGTAGTCCTGTAAGCGCCAGGGCTTTTTGAACACAGTTCCCGCGAGAACTCTCACTTCTCATGAAACGTTCCTCTAACAGCGCGAGAAAAGCCAACGCCGAGGAGCGTTCGGCAGAAGCGCCCCGCCCCCCCCCAACGACTGCGCAGGTGCGGGTGGCGAGCCCTGGGCTGGCGCAGGCGCGGACCTGGCCTCTTGGCGTGTCAGTTTTACCTCAGGTGGTTTTCCAGGCTTTCGTCTAGGTGTCTGCTTAAAATTGCTATGTTTGTGGGGCTTGTGGTTGTTTATGATAGGGCCTTCTGGAGGGACAGTGTCGGTTGGCGGGGATGGGTGGGACTGACCTTGGGGGCCGTTGTCAGCGTTGTCCACCCACCAACGGACTGTGCGCGTGCCCTCGGAGGACCTTCCAGCAGAATCTCTTGTGGTTCTAGGACCCGGAGTCTGCGTGGTGACGTGGGTCCACGGTTACCATGTGGCTTTGTGCCCCAACTTGTAGCGCCTTGGCGCCAAGTTGCACACGATACCTGTCACCAGAGGAAAGCAAAGCCCCAGGAAGAAAAAATGGCTGTCTTAAGTGACAGAATCACAGTATGAACTAATGCAGTCCGATTCCAGAACCCAGGCTCTTGAGAGCATGCGTGTTTAAATAATTTTGTTTTGTTAACCTAGTGTCTATACGTTATTTAAAAATTTAAGCATTCATAAAGAATGGCGTCCAACGTTTAGCGAACACTGCTGAGTCCTAGTAACCGTTATGGGGTCATCTTTTCTTGCCTATTTTAGGACTTGGTTTTTGACTCCCCTCCCTTCCATCATCAGCTTTTTTTCTTTTCTGTTGGACCGTCCCTCTCCACAGAAAAAAATGTTGTAATAACTGCCATTGCAAAGTGATAATAGTAATAATAATAATAATAGATAAAATTTTGTGATAACTGCCATTGCAAAATAACAACAACAACAACAATTTCCCTGACTCCAATCAGGTACAACCCCATTTGTTTGCTTCCCTTTGTAACAAAACACCTTAAAAAAAATTTTGCAATTACTAACTTCATTTTCTTACATTTTATCCCTGCCTGCTCCAACTTCAGCTAGGGTTCAATTCCAACCAATATAGTGAAATGACACCTCAAGATCACCAGTGATTTTTTTTTTTTTTTTTTGGTACTGGGAATTGGACTACTTGCCTTGTATGTGCTAAGCATGTGCTCTACCACTGAGCTACACCTCAATCCACCAGTGATTTGTATCTTGCAACATCAAGTAGTCAATAATTAGTTCTTCCTTCTGCTGAAATTTGTCAAGAGTTGATTGCTTTCATTGAATTTTTGTTTTATGTCTTGGGGTGCCACACTCTCCTTGATTTTTCCTCTTTTCACTTTATTTTGGATACTTTTATTCTGACTGAGTAGACCAGATTACAAAAGACTAATCTCAGTTTTAAGATAAGCAACAAAGATAACAGATGCATCTGGGGCCTGAATGAACCAAATGTTCATTCATTTTTAATCAACCCTTGTGTTCTTTGATAAATGAAATAAATACCATTTCCCCTGTCATTTAACAAAGATTCCTCAACTCAGAAGTCAGGAAGACACTATTCTAGCCTGGACCAGTAATGAAATGAAATAACTAATCTAAAGTTCTTTCTTAACTTTTTTTTTTAACCTCCTTTTACAGGAGAAAGTAAACTCAGTATCATCATTTATGTAAAGGATTGAGTGGCCACCATGAGGTAGACATAGTGGAAGGAATTCAGAGATATGATAACTACTTTCTGGGAGATGCTTACAACATAGTGGAGTATTGAGAAATATAAAAGTAACTATAGGGTTGTATATGAATGCCACTTGCGTGGTATAAGCCTTACAGTAAATATTATATGGACAGATATGTTTTGTTTGGTCATTTAAAACTTCGCAGTGTAGGTGACATTTTAAGAAAAGTCTTGAGGATGGCAGAGCTAAGGAGAAATGAATTCAGGAAGAGGGAACAGCATTATCAAAGTCATAGAAGCTACTCATATAAAAATTGTTAGATAAAATTTGTAGGAGGACATAAATTTGGAGTAGACTCCTGTACAGGGTTCAGTAAACCAAACCAATATGAAAGCACTCTTGCTAAATGTTTAATGAATAGCTGGCCTTCAGTCAATTTCTACGATTGAGCTTCAGTTTACCCTAAGTAGCTACCTGATTCAAATCAGTCAAGGTGCTGAGATGTAACCCATTAAGCTATCAATATGCCTTATTTTTGTTTACTATCCATAAATAACTGTCTGATCATGTTGCTGGAAGGAGGTCTTTGAACTTGTGATCCTGTAGACTGCCCAATTTTAGAGTTGTTAAAGCCAATTATGATTTTTAAATTAGTTGCAATTTGTCGAGGAATGGTCTAATGAGAGTGCTACCAGTACCACCACTAGACACTAGATGTCACAAGTGAAATGAATTCTAAAGAGTCTCCGCTTTTGTTAACATACTTTGGATTTATAGTTCAAGATGCAGATTCCTATACCCAGATAAGGTCCAGATACCATTCCTTAAATGTCAAAGACCAGACAAATAAAAACATAACCTTTTATCTGTAATTTTCAGTTTATATAATGAGAGGCCATTTCCTCCACAGTAGCATAGAAGGGGACTCTAGATACTGGGAAAGAGCAACAAAAAAATCTGGCCTACTTCCCATCATAACTCCTAATATTATAGCTGTTCAAAATGTAGATAGAAAGCTGTAGTGCGCTTGTTATCTTTCCTTCATTGTGACTGCTTTAGACTGTTTAGTTAGCAGAAATGGTGTAGAAGGAGGTGTTGTATTGCATTGACAAGCTGTGTTTATTTTGACACAACTTATTTAATAGTTGCTTTTGGTGCTACAGATGAAGTCTTCATGCTCAAGGAGCTTAGAGTTTAGAGAAGAGGCATTCCCAAACAATGAATTCTTATTTAGGGGATGAATAGTTTCTTGTTCCTTCACATTGGGTAGAGTTGTAAGCCAGTTTTTGGTGGGATCAAGCAAAAACAAGCTCAGGACTCTGCAACACAGAATCTTAAAATAAGAATTAGATGATTTAATAAAGTTCTATGATTCATAGGATGGACTTGGAGGTGATGTTCTGGAAGTTACACTCAAGGCTGTGGTCATTGAAGCCTTCAAAACGGCTGAGATGAAGAAGAGAGAAGAGAGGACTGAGTGCAGGACCTGGGGATTATTCTAATCCATGAAATAGGGGGTGTATAGGATTCAACCAGAGAAACTGAAGAGCCATCTGAGACCAGGAAATTGAATTCTCACAATTCCCACTGTGATAATTAGGTATCAAAACGAATAATTGTTCCAGGCAGGCAAATTTGACTGTTTAATAGCAACAGCGGTAATGAAACCTAGTCTCTTTGGGAGCTGCAGTGTGTAGCACCATCTTCAGCTCTTTAACGAGCTCTATTTTGCTCTTCATAGATGAAGTCCTCACTCAAAGCAAGTGTGTGCTATCCCAATATTGTCAGCATTTGTTGGTTAACTTCCCAACATCAATTTCTCTCACTTACTCCTGCCAAAAGCACTGCATTTGTTCTTTGAGTGATTCATCTTTCATTTTCAGCCATGCTGGTTCCTTACAATTTATTCCACCATTCAGCTCTGGGATACCCATTACCTTGATTCCGTGATTGTTTAAAAGATGGGTATGTGAATGAATCCAAGCCAATGAGATTTGTCACTGGGACTGCAGAAAAGTGGATTTTTTATTAATACCCTGTCTTATGGACTTATTTGTACCCCCAAATTCATATGCCAAAGCCCTAATTTCCAATGTGAATTGAGATAGGGTCTTTAAGGTTAAATAAGGTCATAAGCATGGGACCCTAATAATACAACTGATGTCCTGTAAGAAGAGGAAGAGACACCAGATATGTCTGTCTGTATATGTGTACACACGTAGGAAAGGTCACAGGGAGAAGGAAGCTGTCTACAACCCAAGGAGAGGGTCTCATCAAAAACCAACTCTGCTGACACTTGATCTTCCAGTCCCCAGAACTGTGAGAAAATAGGTGTGTTGTTTTAGCCAATCTGTGGTATTTCATTATGATTGCCTGAGCCGACTAACCCAACTTCCCACATGCTAGGCAGGCCACCTTCTATAGATAAACTTTGTAGCCTACATATTCTAGCCACCATCTTGGGTCCATGAAGGACAGGTTAGCTTGGGAATAGAATCAAAAGCAAAACTGACAAATGGAGAGGGAGGAAAGCATCCCGCTCAAGCCATCTTTGTCCAGTATGCAACCTCTCAAGATGTTAGGGGTGGGCCTGCAATGTTTATTTTTTGCTCAAACAGCTTCCATTTTGAGGTTTTTGTTGCCTGAATCACAGGAGTTCTAATCAATACAGGCAATAATACTTGTGTATGAGCTTGAGTGGTCTAAGCATCAGAAGTTCCTTTTCTATGTTCATGAATTTATGAGATTAACATAATACTAAAAGTTGCTTACTTCCAGAGGTGTAGGATGGCTTCTTTGAGAAAAATGCCTTGGTTGAATGAAAAGGAAGGTTTATTCTAAATTAAGGGGTCTGGGATGAATAGTGGAGGAAAATAAGGATTCAGGTTGTGTGTAATCACTCTTGGTTCCACTTCAGATTACCCCACAACACATTTAAAATGAATTTTTTAGAAGATTCTAGCACCTAAGCCAGTTAGAATTAAGATTGCATGTTATTATCAGATATGGTTTTTACTTGCCAAAAACAGTATCCACTCTTATTAAAGATGTGTATATAACCACAGAGTCCTAATTTTTGCAACTATTCACAAGATTGTAGTTGTCTCTTATGACCTCGTACTTTCTAGTACCCATTATATATTCCTCTTCTTTTCTGACAGTTTTGCAGCTAATTGGTGCTCCTTATCCATTAGAGTGACCCAAATCTTCACTGCTGAATAAAACATAGTCACTAGTTATGAATTATATTATTCCCCATTCTGTTGGTTTAAATTTATTTAAAGTCATAGGGGGTGGGATAAAACTTCAGGTATTAAATCTTACATCTCTCTGAGAAGTTGAAACTACCACACTACTTCTCCTCCCCCCTTCCTCCCTCCCTTCACCTT